CCCCCCCCCCAGACATACTCAGGATCTACGCTGACTCCTTCAGGAGCAGATACTTCACAAAACACCACAGAGGCAGCTCACACTTTCAAGCAAACACACCAGCAGCATCTTTCAGATCTTTAGTTGAATCAGCGTCAACCCACGCGCAACCTCTGACAGATTGAGACTGACACCATCTTGTGTGTGCATGTCTAAGTGTCTTGGTGACCTAGATTTTAAGTACCCCCCGCAGTTAGCCCACCCTGCGCTGGGTTAACGGTGTAATTGTATCAGTGTGCAGTGGGACTCTTGTGGTGATGGTGGCATGTTGCTGTATACTATGTTATATCTAGCTCAAACTGCGCAGGTGTAGAAATGAATCAGCTTTCTAAAATAAAGCATGCATGCTTAGAAGTGTGTGTATCTCAGCTTTAGGTGTCCTTTACATCCAATTAAGTTTATCTACCCAGCAACCAACCACTGCTGATTTTACAAGCTCTGTTCTCAAGCACCTTTTGTGCTCTCTTTCAACACCTTCTCATCACCCACTTCTTAGCGCAAATTCCAATCAATGAACTACACAACTACTTCTTCAACAGCATGTGTAGGCATTTATCTGTGTTGCTATACAGAGTGTCTGAAAGTACAATAAGCCCTCAATCTTAAAAGCGAGGAAAAGACAAGAGCTTAGGGCATTTCTAACTTTTTATTGCATCCTTCTTTTCCTCTATTGTGTTATTTTTTTAATTCATCCGGCCCCCTGTCCCTCCCATCCTAACAACATTTCCTCTGTCCGACACCTTCCAGTGTCACTGTGTCCTCGGCCCTTATCTCTCCTTGTAGCCTTGCATCTCCATCTGAGACCCAGCGACATGCCTGAGGCTGCCATTAGCCTCCTTCTGCTCACTGTCTGGATGGAGCGACTGAATGGATCAACGAGGACATTTAGAGAAAGAGAGAGAGACGTAGAGGTGTGCCCGGTAGTAATGGGATTTCGAAGACTGGATGGTATCGCATATAAGGGGATTTTTCCATTAAAAAACGCCACAGTGTTTGAGTTCAAACTGAGTAGCCCTTTTTATTATCAGTTAATGACATATTTATCAAAATGATCTTGTGCGTCCTTGCAGGGAGGCAGCAGCAAGAACTACTCAAAACTTTGACGACAGAACAAAAAACAATGCCTTATTCACTGTAAGGTATTTATAAAGTAACAATCACTATAAAAAATGTTTCCTCGTACTGAGTGTGCACTATTCATTCACATAGTTTCCATGTGACGCCTTAAAACCGCTGAAAATCACTCCAGAACTATCTGAATGGACAGATCTCACTCTGAGGGAGAAAAAATCTATGTTTGTGTCAACTGTCCATTAAATTTTGTGCGTTTTGTTTTGCAGGGTAACATTTAATTTCTTAACATGTTAAATGGATTCAATCTTTTTCCACACTTAGATGACAGACCACTTTAACTAAAATAATGGAACATATTTCAGTCACTGATGTGTAACAGTCAAGGCGGACACCAACTGTGAAAACTATTAATTACCTTTTGCATAACTGCATAATCCAAATGTATTTGTCTCACTTAAAAATCATTCTGTTTATCCTTACACATGCTGAGTAATATCATACAATGCATTCATCCAGTACTTTATACTTTTGGATTTAGCCAGCAGTTTAGAAATCATGGTGCCTGCTGTACATCCAAGTATCATATTAACATACCAATTGTAAACTTCATTTCAAAAAGGGTAGACCTAGTGAAGACAGACAGAGGATTAATGGCCAGAAGAGCAGCACTTATGTGATGCATCAATGTACAAAAGCAAAACAAACAAAAACAAATGAAACTGCAGAGGTGCTCAACAAAGAGGTAGACTAAACAGAGCACAGACAGCTCCTCAGTCTGGCACTCAACCTGCATTAACAGTTTTTATGGCATCATGATCAAGTCTGCTCCACCCAGTGTCACCTCCCACACTTTGATGCACATTCTGGCTCAAATGAACAAGCAACCAGCTTCTTTTCTCACACTCAATAATTATGAAGTGTAATAAAGTGTTTGCTTGTTTCTGCTGCTGATTTCCATGAGTGAGTGTCGCCCCGGCATCGATAACAGTGACCTCGGGAGCAGCATTAATGATGTGGGCCGTATTGATTTTTCCAGTCAGTGCATACAGAGGAGACATCAGTCTGACTAAAGCTTTGCTTCTTTTTTGTACAAAATGACCATTTAGACTCAAAATGACAGAGAAGAAACGAGACAGAGGAGGTGAAATGGGACAGGGTAAGTGGAGGGCTCAAGGAAAGTTGTGGAAAAGAGACGGCAGGGAGGAAAGTGTAGTTACTGGATGAAGGGAAGAAATGGGAGTCTACTAAAGACAGTATCTATTCTCTCTGGAGGTTATTACTATGAAGTTTCTTAAATTCATTGTTCAACTGCAAATTATTCCATAATCTGACTCAGTTTAAAGAGGCTAAGAAACCTACAGTGACCCTCGCCCTCTGGTACAAGTGACATTTTCCTCTTAACTGATCACACAGTGTATGTGTGTGTGTGTGTGTGTGTGTGTGTGTGTGTTAGAGAGAGAGAGAGAGAGAGAGAGAGAGAGAGGGAGAGAGAGAGGTAAAGTGAATTAAGAAGTATATATATTATATATTATATTATATACTGTTTGACCTTTCCAGTTCACCTGCTTCTAATGCAGCCCTAATTAAGAATTTANNAGAGAGAGAGAGAGAGAAACACGCATCCTGTTAATTCAATCAACACTCGTTTCTTCCGCCCCACAAACTTCATTAAGCTCAGTGGCCATCTGATTATCAATGGGGCCAAAGTTTGTCATGTTGTTGTGTTGTGTGTGTGTGTGTGTGTGTGAGCCCAATAATAAAAAAAAAAAAACTACTGCAGGAGCTCGTGAAGCACGCATGAGCGTCAGCTGGGTGTATGGGAGTTTTATATCATTTTAATGGCGAGCAAAGATCGAGATAGGGTTGCCATAAATCTATGTGGAAGCCGCATGGAGACATAATTAACTGCTCTATGTGCAGTGTAGTCTGATGACCTGCTATTCTAATAATTTATGACATTGATTAAATAAAAGCTACACCAGTCATTGCACCAGTTTGTCTCCATAAATGTCTTTTGCGGCCGGTTTTGGAAGTTTTGGATGATGAATGTTGGTTCATGTGGTTCTGGTGAATTGACGCCCTGGTTCAAACTCACCCGCACAAGGTTGCTGACAGCCGCCTGCACCGCGGCCACCGGCACCGTCAGATCCGGGATGGCTTTACCGTCCACCTCCCCCTCCTCATGCATGATGACCAGGTGGGAGATCTGCTGGGCCACCGGCTCCAGGATACTCTCGATGGTCTTGGTGTGAAACACCGGCATCGTGAACGACTTTTTACCGCAGCTCCGATAGAAGAAAAGGCGGCTGGTCGCTCCAGCACTGATGATCCCCCCTCTCTCTCTCTCTCTCCTCTCTCCTCTTTCCTCTCCTCACCGACACAGGCAGGAGGAGGACAGATCCCGAGTTGTCAGTCCAGCACCTGGGACGAAACCCTCATGCGTCTCCCGTCCCGGTGTGCGCCGTCTCCTGTAGTGAAGCACCTCGGTAAAGGCTGGACTCGGTAGACGGTCGGTGTCCTCCGGTGGGAGCGACCCAAATCGTGACAGAAGGAATCGCCGCCCTCCGCCCAATCACAGCGAAGGAATACAGCTGCCAAGCGGGTTGGTGGTGCGCGCTGACGCTTCATCTCCCCCCTCTCCACCCCCCACACACCCGCACACATCATAGCCTCAACACACACACACACACAGCAAGTGAGAGCGCTTCCAAAATTACGTCATGCATGCCAGTGGCCCCAAAAAGGGAAAGTGTTGGGGGTAACTAGATTGTGATGAGATATGGGAGAAGACGTGTGTGCAGAGGAAGAGGGGCTAATATCTACAACAGGGAAAGGTTGTCAGTCTGCTCTGTGGTCAACTTCACATGCATTCACCCATAGAGGACACTGGAGATGGGATGAGGAGCTGCACCAGTGCCTGTAATGTTGAAGGAAACTGGTGGTCTTTTTTATTTTATGAAGCTTCAAACCTGCATCTGACACATGATCTATGTTCATTAAAAGGTGGGTCAGGAGTTCATGTCTCCAGGCCTAAATGTCCAGGTCTAAATAAAGACCAAGGATTCAGCTTGCTGCTGGCTGCAGCTGAGAGAAGGAGTCTCTCTAACAGACGGAGACTTACAGCTCCTGCACCATGGCCACACACACACACACACTGTTTCCCCAACTTATTTTGGGGAGGATCCTCGGCTGTCCCACTGGTTCAACACCTGCCTGACAGGTTGCACTTGAAACTGTTTGTGCACTAAAGTGAAAGCATTTCCTTGAGTGTAGCAATGAATGCATTAAAGGGAAATAATCTGATTTATCCCACACAGTAAGTCTGATTGTGTGTGTGTGTGTGGTGTGTGTTGTGTGTGTGTGTTAGGGTTGTCCCTGCTCCTCAGATCTGAATCTGTGTTGGGGAAACCAGAGATCCCAGCAGCAAAAACAGCAGTATTTGCACCCCTGAGACTCGGTGTTGACCAAAGAGCCTGCAGCCAAGAGACCCCTCTAATGTGGATGCAGCGAAACGGCTGCGATCCAAATCAGAGACACTGGACACTCTGGTCCACCTGGTTAGAATATACCCTGTTCCTGCCCTCCTCTCCTCTCTACTCCTCTCCTCTTCCTTAGGAATTGTCCTTAAAGAGGAGTAAGAATCATACTCACAGCATCTCAAATCCATATATGGACTGAGGCAGAGTGGAGGAGCAGTAAAGTAAACTGGTCGTGGTGAATAATTGAGGGGGAATGAGACAGACTATGATTGGCTCTAGTAGCGCTGCTGTGGACTATCTGTATATGTGGACTTGTCCAAACAGACTTTGATAAAAAGCATTGCAGCATGTTGCTTGGAGAGGTTTTGAAGTATGCTTTCAATAATGACGCGATGACCAGTTGGATTGTGGTCGCTCAGTGCAACAAAGTGTGCTCAGATGATTACACTACAATTTACCTTAGAGCTCCCTGTGTTGCTGTTGTACATGTATTTGCACTGATCAATTTGTTGTCATGATTGGAGCAGTGGTGCTTAGTGTTCCTGTGGCATGTGTCTTTTTTTGGGGTGTGGGTGTTGGAGGTATGGGGTATTAGACAGAGAGGTGTGAGTCAGTGGACAACTGAACGCATAAACACTCGCTGCTCCACACTGAGACTTTCCTGGGAATCATAAGTCGTCTGACAAGACGTGACGATCTGCAGCAGAACCATGTTTAGTAGAACTACTTTCATTTGTGCAGTGCTGCATATAGATATACACAGTCACTTCTTGCTCCTATAATACCCAGAAATAGTTTTTCAACACTGCATAAGCAAAAGCATACTTGTCTTATGCACACAGCTGGTGTTGTGCACTAAAGGTCATGTACTGCATTGTATACATTGGTGCTCTATATACCAAGAAACCACTACAAAGAGCGTCCTTTGTGACGATACAGGAATACAGCCTGATGGATTTATAACCGTGCTGGTAGCGTGGACGGATAACACTGTCCACCAGTTTGTTCCAGACTGAAATATCAACTATTCAATGGATTTTCATTCATACAGACATGCATCATCCCCACAGTATGAATCCTAATGACTAATGATCCCCTGACTACCCTATGAGGTCGACATTTGTGGTTTTGAGAGAAATGTCTCAACAGCTATTTGATCAATAGCTGTGGAATTCATTCATGTTCCCCTTGTAATAACTTTGGATATCTCCTGACTTTTCATCTATAGCACCATCAGCAGGTAAAGTTGTCCAATACTTTGGTTTATGACTAAACACCTGCAAAATTAATGACATTCCCATAAGATTCAGCTGCACTTTGTCTACAGGGGAGCTCAATATCCTCTTAATATGACCTTTGGGTTTTATAGTCAAGTCAAATTACATGAAAATAGCCCAAAATCACAATTTGTCTTAGGTGGCTTTACAATCAGTACAACATTCAACATCTTCTGTCCTCAGACCCTCAGTTAAGGTGATGAAAAACTCCCCAAAAAACAATTGGAACTGAGAAAAATTTATTTATATTCTCAGCAATGATTTTTTTTTAAATGTTTAGTGTATGTTTTCCTAGTTGATTATGTTGAATGTTGATATCTCTACAGTGGCTGAACCATTTTTGCCATTCAACCTGCCATTGAAACATCCATCTCCCTTCATTATTTTGCAATGACGACAGATTTAGATCTCTGATCATCTTAGTGAATACAGGACAATATAGGGTATCAGACAATATAGGAATGTTCCTTTATTCCTAATTAGCAAATGTTAGCATGCTAAACAAAGATGATGAACATGGTAAATCATACATCTGCATGTAACATCAGCATTGTGTCATTATTAGCATATTAGCATGCTGTCATTAATATTAAACTCCACTCCAAAATGTGTTTTTCTTCTTGTTCCTACAGTTTGTTTGAGCTTCACTGTGCAGAGTGATGGATGTGCAGAGTTTGACACTAGAAGGATGTAGGAGACATCTTGCATATTCATAGATTTTGGCATATTTCTGTCATATTTCTGGAGCAGATGACCTTTTCAGGATTTTAATGTGGAAACACATTGTTGTTCCAAACAGAGAATTTGTGTATGTCATAATACATGTCTGGAGGGGATGTTTAACAAAGAGCCACAGTAAACTGTATCTTTAATTCACTTTCATTTTGTATCTTTCTTTCATCTTTTGTCCCAGTGATCTGCTTTAATTTTAAAGATCCAGTGTGTAGGATTTAGTGGCATCTAGCAGTGCAGTTGCAGATCACAACTCTGCTGCTTCACCCTCCCCCAGAGTCCCTTCTGGGCTACTGTAGAAACATAGTGGTTCAACATGGCAGACTCCATAGAGGGCAACCTGTGGTGTCTGTAGATATAACGGCTCATTCTAAGGTAACAAAAACACAATGTTTTCTATATTCAGGTGATTGTACACTGATGAAAACAAACCTATGAATATTCTATTCTATTTCTGCCAATAGATCCTCCTAAATGTTTCACATTGGACCTTTAATTTTTGCTTACCATGTCTTTTATGCAGAAATTGTAATTCTGAGCACTTCAATAATTAAAAAGCATCTCTGCTGTACAAACAGTATTGTTCATTTATGACCTGGACTTTCTCTCAGTCTCTATCTCTCCCTTACAATGAGAGGAAGAAATATTTTGACAATGCAGGACACAGAAATGAGATGTAGAGCAGTTTATCTTGTCAGCTCTGCTAACCTTTTACTTTCTTGGCACAAGCGATTGGAGATAAAAATTCCTGTGATTTGACTCCACCAACATCTTTTTGTTTGTAGAGAAGCTTCAGTCTGTAGGCTTTTAAACAATGGTCAGAATTATTTCCAGTACTTCCTGTGCCAATAAAATGCAAATATACTGTGGGCTGGAAGTCAAGTAGGGCAAGAAAAAAAAGCTGAATTGCTATTGTGTCATTTACAGCTACAGTCATCAGTCGTCTAAGCTCAACTTCCTTTTTCTTTCATGTTGAACTACAGTGTAAAATAAATCTGCTGCAGTCCATTTGATAAAAGCCCCTGCTCTATTAATCTGCTGCTACACAAACTGCTGATTTATTCACTGTCTGAAATTAAGATTAAACCTACAAGTGTCATATATAAAGATACAGACTAAGTTTGTGTGCTCTTCAGTATGTTTGAGACTCCTCCTCTGCCTGCAATCTTTACACACCAGTGCCCTCCAGTGTTTGACTTGCTTCACTTTCACTGTAGGATGTGTTTGTGTGTGCTTGCAAGAGTATGCACATGCAAAAGAGAGCAAAACACGATGAATATGTAATATAAATATTTTATTTACTTTAAAAACAAAAAGAAGCTTAACAGCAGGACCAGCCTTCTACAAAAGGAAATGCTTATTAAATTAAATTAGATAAATAAACTTTTAAGCTTGTTTTAAAAATCCATACTCTTGGTACGAAAAGTTTATGCACAAGTAGTAAGAAAAGTAGCACATACTATTTACAATAAAATATTATTATATATTATATATTATTAAATATTATTATTTATTAATATTTTAAAATACATTAAATTTGAACTATTGCAATAAATCTTTACTGTGCAAAACAATTGTCACTGTATATTAATAGCAATATCAGCTACTCTTGAAACCAAACTAGCAACATGCCTACATACACTCAGAGCCTACAAAACTGCTGCCTTTAAACAATAAAATGCCCAACAGGTGACTTTCTTTCACAGCTTCATTTTTGGGGATACTTGATTCCTGATGTGTATTTGGAGAGCCCAGTTTTTGAAGCGATCCACTTGTTGTAGTTGGTGACCTGCGTGTAAACCCCTGGTTTGTTCTTCCTGGCACAGCCGTCACCCCAGCTCACCACCCCGAACAGAAACATCCGACCTGCCATTTCACACACTAACGGACCACCGGAGTCACCCTGTGAGGAGAGGACACATCAGTCAGCCAGTGCTCATGAAGAAAGTTCACAATATCTTTAGATTTAAACAATTTTAAAGTATAAGTACTCATTATTTATCAAATTATTTTATTCTTGGTAGTGGTCTGAAAATGTTCCAAACAGCATTTATATAATGAAACTACATTTCTCTACTGAACCCCAGAATAAGAATTATTGGGTGACAGGTATTTACACAACTTGCTTAGAGCAGAAGATGGATATAATCAATCTCACTGCAAGTGTATGCAACACTTTTAAAACTCCTCAAGAAGAGGAAAGAGTGCTCTTCAGATCTCACTTAATGCTGCTAAAGCTTGAAACATATTGCATATCTGTGAGATCGATTACAACTTCCTTTAATTTCTGTTGTTAATGCACTTCTGTTTTTGTGCAGACTTTTAAACCAAGACTTAAGACATTCACTGTTTGCAAGAAGCCTTCAGTTGTTTTTCTCTTGGTTTTTACACTGAACATCCCAACACACATGCATACATATTCATACACTGGGTTCTTTACTCACCTTGCAGGCATCAGTGCTCCAGTCAGGGCTCCCAGCACATAACATGTTCTTAGTGATGAGATTTTCATAGTGCGATTTACTTCCACAGTCACCTTGGGAGATCAGTTTTACCTCGGCCTGTTTTAGGTACTGTGAGTAAGACCCCACTGCAGAAAACACATTGGTATAAGAATCACTGAAATGGCTGAGAGATCAGTCATAAATCTGTAAGACAGACAATCTGCAGTACATACAGAATCTCTCTTTCCCGAATCCTGCAATGCTGCACTGAAAACCTGCAGGAAGCTGAGTGTGAAGTGGAGGAAGACACACGGTCCGTGTAGATGGAGACTTCACAGCACATCTTCCATTTCTGCCTTTGATCTTCAACAGTGCTGAAATGCAATGAAAAACACAGCTATGAGTCCTGCACACAAAGCATTCATGCAGCTCTTAATTTTTCTCACTCACACACGTACACACAGTACAATTATGTGCACCTATGTCATTATCGTAGTTGGTATCGTTGTACTTTTGGTGGATGATCAGTTTTTCCACAGCAAACGACTGTTCATTGTCAGCATCTGTTTCATTGATGGCTGTCTTCCCCAGGTATACAGACACACGCCGGGTGTCACTGAACGTAAAATAAACACAAGTGGTTTACTATACACACAAAGTGCGTAAACATATTACATACCGATATGAGTCATACTGCCAATATAGTATGAGAATTGCAGTGGAGGAAATTATAATGTTTTGTGTTTTTTCTCACCTATCAGAGAAGCAGTGAGCAGCCGTGACAACCCAGCATGGTGAGATGAGAGAGCCACCACAGAGGAAGTCTTTGCCCTTAAAGATAGCAGCGACCCATGGGTGCGACTCTATGGGTGTGAAAGAACCACCCACGATTTTATTCAGCCTCCGCTCTGACCTCTCACCACATGTCAGCTCTGCAGGGGGGACACACAGGGGGAGTCAGTGAGTGGCTGATGAAGACAATCACAAGATGGGGAAAAAGTGCATTTAAACAACAAAGCTACCTGTATCCACAGCAGGTGGATCCACAGCCAGTGGTGCTTCTTTTGTTGGTGTATCACCTGTATGGGAGCAGAAAACAGAGATTATTAGAAAAATCCAGATCAAACATGCAATATTTCAATGATTTTTAAATTCCCAATGTCAGCCTTACATCTGGGAATATCACAGAATTCCTTCACAATCTTCTTTCCTCTTCGGACACGGCACCACGGCATCAAGCTCTTGTTAGGATTCCTGGCAATCAAGTGAAATAATATTAAACAAATGGTACCTCTCCTTAACATATCTGTGTGCCAGATTGGTGGTTTAAGGTATACCTGCAGTAATTATGGTCGCCGAGTCCCTCTGAAGCTCCCCAAAGGTTATTAAATCTGTTCCAGTTGAGACATCTCCGTTCAGTTACCGACTCAGAAACAAATCCCCTGTAGCTGCTCCCATCCCCAGACCGACACATGTCTGAAGATCACATTACAAAGAGAGATGAGAACATTTAATGTCATTGTCACCAAAGGCAGCAGATGCAGAATATTAGGAATATGTGTTGGCTTACCCTTGGGATTAGGTGGCAAAATCTTTCTAAACCATCTGTGTGAAAAAGCCTGAAAGGAGCACAGACAAAAACTCAGTTGAGACAGAGTCCCCTGCGTGGGAATATTACACCTAGAGTTACTTCCTCTTATTGTTGCTTACCACATCAACACTGAACGCTGCAAGGACCGCGACAATGACTAACAGGTTCATCTTCACTTCTGGTTTCGCTTCTCCTTTTTGAGGGATATTTCTGTCTGAAGATGGACTGAAAAAAGAACAAGAATTAGAGAAATGGAAATAAAAAACATAGATTTAAAGCTCATGTGCCCTTATTTGGAGTTTATCTTTGAGCACACGATAGGACAGACGTGCTTTCTGTGTCCATCTTCAGTTAACACAGTGTTACATTTCTGCTGATTGCATGTCTACATCTATTACAGAGGGGAAAAGGGGCTGCTTTTAATGTAACAGCAACAGACTGAACATGCTTACTCTGTACTGTAAACATAATCTCTATCAGTACAGTGAATGCAGTATCAATTTAGGTCAGTTGATTACTGCATTGCATGTGTACACAATTACATCACATTAGTTTTGCAGTGAGTACAGTTCAAACATTGAATTTCTAGATATTTAGATATTTCTGGATCAACTTAATAAGGACAAAACTTGGTTGAAACTTTACATTTAATGCATGATTTATCTTTTAGTTTACTATGTTTTTAGCATTAAAATATGAGTCCCGTTGTGCGTTTGTGATCCGTCCCCTGTTGCTTGTACCGAAGTTTCTTCCATTTCTTCCCTGTTAAAGGGGTTTTTTATGTTTGTTTGTCCTGATCTGAAATTGCTGTACAGCTTTTAAAGCCCTACGAGGCAAATTTGTATTTTGTGATATTGGGCTATGTAAAAATTTACTTCATCAGGTATTCATAAAGTAAACAAGACAATCTATATTTTACTGAATGTCACAGTGTGGGAAGCTTTGTTAGAGATATGTTTACCTTTCTGTCCAAACTTGCAATGTTGAATGTTGTTATTTCTTCCAGATGAGGTGACGTTTATGGCTTCTCTGTGTCTTCTGGTATGCACTCGTGTTATGGGAGAACTCGCTGTTAGCTGTTCTGAAGTTGCAGTGCTGATCTTCTGCGAGTTCCTTCCCATTTAAAAACACAATGTTACAAGTGGGAGGGGTTTAGGAGGAGATATGAAAACATTACTGCTGTTCAAATGCTGATCAGCAAAACCTTGGCCAAAGAATGTGTCATGTCCTGTGACACATAAAGACTGAACACCCCCCTCCTCCTACCACTTAAACCACAGCAATACAGCTAAAATAAAAATATCCAAAATTGGTCATGTGTACAATGACAGCTGCAGAACATGTTCAAACGTGGAATGACATGTTTGAGATTCTGTGTCATACTAATGAACTACATTTATACATTCAATGGATCAAATCTTCCTACCACAGAAATGATTGTAGACACTGCAGCATATGCTGAGTATATACTGTATAATATACTACTGAAATCTGTTTTACTCATAGTCAGAGCACACTCAAGTGGTATTGAGTCATAATAGTTTTTTATATTCGATTAGTTTGAATTATTTTTTATTTTTGTTTTCAAGTCACTTCACAGTTAGTTTCAGAGTGGGTCTGCTCATTTCTGTTTAATTCTTATTGTTTACATTTTTTTTTTGTTTTGTTCAGTTTCAGTATTATTTTATAGTTTAAAAAAATAGTAATACTGTTATATGGGGGCTATTTGTCAGGGGCAAGATTTAAGACATATATATGTATTATAACACAAACACAACAATTTGTGAAGGCATTTGATTCACAGTCATGCAGATATCCCAGTTTTATGCTTATTGTGGTGACAAATTGGACAAAATTGACAAAGATCATGTTATCAGATGCTTTTACCGATATTTACAAATGCCTTTGCTTGTTGATGTTTTAAATGTTT